TGCTGGCTTTGGCGGGTCGGCCTAGGCCTTGGCATGGCATGCTGCTGCACTCATGCCAACAAATTTTAACGCTGTATTTGATTAGAGAATTTAAAAAAAAAATTAAAAAGAAAAATGAAAAAAAGGTATGAAATTAGGTAAAATATAAATATATTTTATTCACATTTCACCTACTTTTGAATTTTCATATAATTACACCATCTTTCATTTTTATAAGACTAAACAGACCGAAATTAATGCAAATAATATGAAGAAACAATATAAATAAAGAACAATATACATTTTAGTATTATTTTTCTGTTTTTATGACTAACAAATTATTGATAAAAAGATGACTAAAAGGAAGTTCGATGTAATTATTCTACAATTGTGAGATATATTGTATTTTTTCCAAACCACTATCAATATAATTTACCCTAATTTTAACTAATCAAACTCTAGTGAGTTTATTCAAGCTTTTTATAATTTAATTTCTTTAATTCAAGTTGTTTCTAAAATCAAGTTTAAAATATTGTTTTCAACATAGTAAAACAATAAATTGGTCACTTGATTATTCTACAACCTCTCACTGGAGGAGTCCCATCCCCACTAAAAACCTATATATTTTTTTGATTTTCAATTGTTGATTATTCTTATCTAAAAGTATACTTTAACGATCCATGATTGTGTTATTTATATTTGAAAAAATTTGTGAAATATCCCTCTTCAATTTTATGTTATAGGAGAGGTCCAAGATTTTTTTTTTATTAACAAGGTCTCTCGATGAAATTTCTCTATGGTCATATCAGAAAAATTTCTTTATTTCTTTGTGAAAATTAAAAAAAAAATTGTGAAAATTAAAAATTCTTTGTATCGGAGCTGAAATTTCTCTAAGTTAGGCACAATTTTTTTTTAGTATAATTTTCTTTATGAAAATATTGAGAGATCCCAACTACTATGAAAATATTATAAATCTTTATCTTATAAAATTTTAATATCATTGACCTTAAAAAAAATTCCCCTCCATATTATCATCATGTCTTTTTTGGTAAGACTTTTACTATAAATCGAGTAAATGGATGTAACTTGTAAGTATTAGACAAATGTTAAGAATATGATATAAAAAAAAATGGAAAACGGTTAATTTTTTTTTTATTGAAATAGATAAATAAATAAAAAATTATTTTAAATTTAAGGGAAAATATCATTTAAGTGGAATGTAAAAAAAATAATCATATATTAATGAAAAACTTAAAGGCATTAAAAAATAATTTTATAAGTTTTTTCACGAAATTGTTATTACTTTTACTAAATTGCCCTAACATGTTATTTCCCCTAAAGTTAATGATAAGTGTTTCGTGTTCTATTAATTTTTGTCTTTTTTATGTGTGCAAAGGACACCTATTATAAGACCTTCACAATTGTACGGCGCCGAGTTTCACGAGCTTGACTCGGTTGCTCTGAACCAGCGAGAGGTGGTACAGAGCCAGCGCCGAGTCGTGGCGTCTCCGCTCGCTCTCTGACCTCAGCGAGTGCAGAAGCGGCTGCAGCGCGCCGAGCACGCCGATGGCTGTCCTGTTGTCGTCTTCCACAGCCAAGCTGAAGAGCGCGCCGGCGGCGTGTTCCTGCGACTCGGCGAAACCGCCTTTCAACACGTCGATCAATGGGAGGACGATTCCTGAACGTACAATCTTCACCTTGTTGGCTTTCTCGAGAGAGAGGTTGACGAGAGCGGCGGTGGCGTTGGTCTGCACGGCGTCGTATCTCGAGATCAGCAATGGTCGGAGGGCGGAGAGCAATCGAGGCGTACACAGCGAAACCCTAGCTTCTTCCTTCATCCTCGTGAGCTTTCGCAGAGCTATCAGACCTTGTTCTTGCTCAAACACGTCCAGACTCTTGAGCTTCACAACGAACTCTTCGTCCTCAGAGATCGAATTAGGGTTTAGCGTTTCATCAGCAGCGATCTCTGATGAATTCGAAGTAGACGATGGCGAGAAACACATCGGCCGAGTCGTGAATAGAAGCAGAGGATTCGATTGAACGTTCGCGCTCACCGATTCCTCAGAACTCGACGAGTAGAAATGGTTCGCTCGGTGATTCAATTCAGTCACCGCGTGCAAGAACAAAACAGGTGGATTCTCAGCGACGCCCTTCAACAACTCCTTCTCAGAAACCCTAATTTTTGAATCATCGTTATCTTCTCTCGCAGAAGACATTAACCCACAAACCGTGGTCTCGACGAAGCTGTAATCTGGTAACTGAGGGCATTCGGTACGGGAGGAGTCGCACCAGTTGAGAATCGTCGATTTGAGATTCAAATTGGGGATGACAGTGGAGAAATCGGGGTTAGAGCCGTCGGGAAGTAGATGAGCAAAACCTAGGTGTCTGCAGACTTGTACGCACATGCTCTCAAAGGTTTGGCTTGAAGAGACGACGACTGGATGCCGGTATGCATCGCTGTCACTACCATCATCGCCATCTGAAAGATCACAGGTTCTGTGGTTTTCTAAATTCGATAGTTCAGATTATCTGGGATACATCATTTCTCCAAATGGAATTAATTAAATGGGTTTAGATTCTTTGTCACAATGACCAAAAACCATTGAGAATTGAATGAGAAATTGTTTCATAAAAATGGCCTCATAAATGAGGTTTTTGGGAATTGTGTATAACTACCAATCCCACATTGATTGTAGAGGAAAGCTTTGATGGGTATTTAAACCTCAAGATTTTGATAAGGATATGAGCCCTTTGGGGCATCCAAATTTTCTGAAGGAAGGGAGGCATGAAGGCTTTAAGGATGAATGCTTTAAGGATGGGCATCCAAATTTTCCGAAGGAAGGGAGGCATGAATGCTTTAAGGATGGGCTTGGACCAAGACTATAGTCCAAGTTGGTTATGGAAAAATTGCCACACGCGCGCACTGCCCGCCCTCCCAGACCAGGTCAGACCGGTCCGGGTCCGTGTCCGTGGTATGTGATCCATGATCCGTGGGTTGTGGATCGTGGACCTTGGATCTTGGGCTTGGGCTTGGAGCTTGAGGCTTTAGACTTGCTGGAATGGGTTAAGTTTGGGCTGGGCCAAATTGGTGGTCTACCAACCTAATCTTTTTGGGCCAAGTCTGCTACAGATATTTTTTCCCATCAGTTTTGGACCATTACTCCAGTAATTTTGCAGAAGTAATGGCCGTTAGTTGCCAGCCTTTATGGACATTGGTTGCTAGCTTTCATGGACATTAGATGTTAGCCTTCATGGCTGAAGGTTCCTCCTCTCTCCCCTATAGTGTATAAAAGGAGACCCATCTCCTTTGATTTTGGTACATATTTTTGCCTTCCAGAATTATACAGTTAGTCTATTTATGTCTATAATTTTCTTCCTGTGTTGAGAGAGTACTGCCATTATCGATTCGCCAAAGCTATCAGAAGGTGCTTCTGCGGTAGCCGGTCTAAACTATCTTATCCTGGAAGATAGAAGTCGACGTTCCTCCAGCACCCACGGTGAGGCGGCTAATCTGTTTTAAGGACACTGTGCTATTACACAAAATTTGGTTTGCTCCCTCGCCTTTCAATATATTATGTGATATGTATTTTTGTATTATGCTTTAGAATGCAATATAGATTTATTTGATGTTCTATTATTCAATTTAATAAATCATAAATCTATTTATCCTGTTTAAATTATACAATTTAGGTAACATGAATCACCAATCAAAGCCAACTTGAACAAGTAATCATATTCATCTTCACCTCTATACCCTGCCCTCTCTCTCTCTCTCTCTCTCTCTCTCTCTCTCTCACAATTTGCCTTGGTTAAAGGGCTGTTTGGTTTGATTTTGGGCCTTTTTTGAAATATGCTATTGTCGGGGTTAGCTAGATTCTTGGAGTGAATGCTCTAAATAGTAGTTGCCCTTGATAATTTGGGTCTTTTTAGTGAAATTTTATATTTTAAATATAATTATTTATTAAAATACTGTACTTATCAAATTATTTGTGAGATTCATTGTTTCTTAAAATATGAATAAATTATAGGAAAAATTAGTCTAAGGTCCTTCTCCCACTTTTAATAATGGAAAAGATCCACAATATTATTTTATGATGTCTAAAGTCTTTCAACCCCAAACTCATATATCACAGAGAAATTTAAGAAGAAACGAAAGGGCTTCAAAAACTAAGTTTGGTCTCTCTTTTCTCTCTCTTTGCTCTCTCTCTCTCTCTCTCTCTCTCTCCTACATCAACCCAAAACCCTAGCTTCTTCCTTCATCCTCGTGAACTTTCTCAGAGCTATCAGACCTTGTTCTTACTAAAACATGTCCAGACTCTTGAGCTTCACAACGAACTCTTGGTCCTCAGATATCGAATTAACGACGCCCTTCAACAACTCCCTCTCAGAAACCCTAATTTTCGAATCATCGTCGTCTTCTCTCGCAGAAGCCATTAACCCACGAACCGTGGTCTCGACGGAGCTGTAATCCGGTAACCGAGGGCGTTCGGTACGGGAGGAGTAGCACCAGTTGAGAATCGTCGATTTGAGATTCAAATTGGGGATGATAGTGGAGAAATCGGGGTTAGAGCAGTCGGGAAGTAGAGGAGCAAAACCTAGGTGTCTGCAGACTTGTACGCACATGCTCTCAAAGGTTTGGCTTGAAGAGACGACGACTGGATGCCGGTATGCATCGCTGTCACTACCATCATCGCCATCTGAAAGATCACAGGTTCTGTGGTTTTCTAAATTCGATAGTTCAGATTATCTGGGATACATCATTTCTCCAAATGGAATTATCAGAGATAGAATCAGAACCAGAATCAGAGTGGTTTCTGGTTTTTTTTTATCTATGGGGGACTGAGTTTTGATGTATTGGGTGTATGATGTTTCTGTATTTGTAGAACGTTCAATTATCATGCTTATCTTAATTCACGGTTGTTACTCTGTTCTTTTCAAACTTATTATTTGTGAATACATTTTCTTTTTATGCTTAAAGAACTATTCAACTCGGGTTATATCATAATTTCTTTTTATGATAGTGTTGATAGTGTTAAATTTCTCTGGATTTGGGCACTTTTCTTTGGATTACTCGAGTTGTAGGTTGCAAAAATTTGAATTCAGAGAAATTTCAATTTTCTCTGGGTTTGGGAAGTCCTGAATAATAATGAAGCCTTGTGAATTTTTTTTTTGATTTGGCAATTTTCTCTAGATTACTCTTGAATTTTCTTTGGATTTGGCAATGTTCTCTAGATTGAATTTTATCTAGATCAATATTGAAGGATCTTAGACACTATGAAAATATTGGATGTCCTTTATATTATAAAATTTTAATACTAGGGACCTTAAAAAAATTTTTAATATTGGATGTCCTTTATATTCGGCTTTTGGTAGGTGACCTTAACTTGTTTTGATTTTGCTTGCCTATGGTATCTGGCGATCCTGACTCATTTTGCAGACGGTCGGCATGATCACCGACTTGGGCCGCCGCCTACATGATGCCCTTAAGAGGATTGACCGTTTGCAGTCAGAAGTGGACGGTCAAAAGAGCAGGGCCGAGTTTGAGGTTATGAGAGCCGCAATGGAGACTGTGCGAGCCGAAGCCGAATTAGAAAGGGCTCGGTCTGCCGATCGGCTCTGTTCTGATGCCGAAGATAGGGAAAACACGAGCGAAAAATCGCTTAGGCTAGCCAAGGAGGCGCTTAACAAGGTGGAGACTGAGTTAGCAGAATTGAAAGTGGACAAGGAAAAAGCCGAATCTGAGGCTTTTACCGCATTTGAAGCAGGAAAAGGCGCCGCCTTCGAGGAAGACGTAGATGAAGTGCCCAAGTTTGAGAATCGGGGATTCAAACATGGGTGGCTCAAGGCCCTTGATGCCGCTGAGGTCACATTAGACTTGCCAATTCCATATGAGCAGGTGGACGTTAAGCTACTTGAGTCTGACCCCGAGGATTGATCTGGGAGGCATTTGAATTTTATGAAATGCTTTCACTTTTGATGTATGTTTTTGTTTTAAGGACTTTTGTTGGTTCCAAGTAGTTTTCATGTATAAATTGCTTACAATCTGCGCTCAATTTATTAATGAAAATTACCTTGTCATTTCACTACTACTTATGCACAGTTTGTGATGTTGTGCTAGTGAAGAATTTTTTGCCTTTCACCATTTTAGATAAAATGATTATTCTGTTGACCTATCTAAGATTGAATATCTTGGCAATATTGACTTATCATTCATACGCCGAATAGTTCGTGGGTATTATGCTGGTGAATCGATTCATGGGCCGGTTGGGGCACTTAAGCCGAATAGTTTGATGAATGGCCATATTGACTTATCATTCATATGCTGAATAGTTCGATGAATCTGCCCTTGCCCCAGGCGGTTCATGATCATTCGAGCGCCGGAAGAGACGAACTTAAGAGTTTTGAAGAATTGATTCATGGGCCGGCTAGGGCGCATAAGCCGAATATATTGATGAATTTGCCCTTAAGCCGATTAGATTAATAAATCTCCCCCTGCCGTAGTTGGCTCATGGACATGATACGCCGGATGGACGCATAGATTCTGCCCTTGTCCCACGAGGGTCGACTCAGTCGGTGCCGGGTGATTAAGGTTTTCACAATTAATGAGATTGCCTCGGGGGTGCTGCCTCCGTAGAGGATAAAGGAACAAAGGTACAACTTTTATGAGCTTAGTGAACAACTGACTCCAGCTCTTGGAGGAAGATTCATCGTGTGAATGTCGAACAGACTCTTCTTTAACAGCAGAGGGGAAACAAGGACGCTAGCTGAGCTGGGCAGAGATATAAATCGAGGTGGTGAACCTTCATGCATAGGAAGTAGGAGTTCTAGGGATCGAGAGAGGCGTCAGTCTCCTAGACGTCGAAGCAGGTCGCCCAGGTGGGACAAGCAGTTGCAGGGCAGATCTTCGTAACCCCAAGTCGAAAGGGGATCTAACGTGAATCCGTGCCCATTAAGCTTTGCGGTATTGGTGGGGAATAAACCCATGACAGAGGCGGACTCGATCGTTCGAGACCATTGGACTATTTGTGGCGTGAAATAGCATGTTGTTGTTGAAATATAGAAAAGCCCTAATTTATATGTGTCATGATGAATTAAAAGAGGGAGAAAAACCCTAACTTAATGTTTATGATTTAATTTGCATAATTAGTTTGGAAGGTTATGGAAGGAATGGAATTGATTTTGGGAAAATGAGAAAAGTGTTTTTGGAATAAGTGGTGGGACATATTGATTTGGAAAATTATGAAAGTTGATTTTGAAAGTGAAGAATGAAACTTTAACTCTATGTGAGTCATAGAAAATAAATATGGGAATTGGATTGTTGTATCATGCGTGTCGAGTGTACACATTTGGGGGAAATAAATTGTAACTACCATGCTTGGGTTGTTAATGGGTTTGTGATCTCATGATAATTGAGTCTGTTAATAGATGTACAATATGTTTGCATCTAGAGGTTTTGTCCTTGGTCATTGGTGGAGGATGACATGGTTGTGATGAATTGTCGTGTATGCATTAGACCATTGTTAATGGAACATCGTATGTGATGAATTGTTGAGATACATTATATATGTATGCTTGCTCGGGAAGAGGTAGTTATGTGTTCATATACTTTAACACATTGTTTGTATCCGGATGGTTTATGTATATGTGTTATACATGTTAGTTGTGCCTTGTTGCATTTGGTTGGTGGTGTTATACCCTGCACTTAAAATCAAAGGTACCGCTACCTTCCAGCTAGCGCCTGGAGAACTGTATGCGCTAATAGTCGAGGGCACCATACCCCTCCAGCTGGCGCCTGGTAAACTGGCTTGTTGTAATCGTTGTTGTGCTTGTTGTTGTGAAAGGTGTATCTTTGGCTTACTACGCACATAGCTAGTAGAGCAAAGTTTGGTTGTTGTTGTAGTTTCAATGTATCTGGGAACATCATGATTTGTGTTGGTTACAGTCTTGGAGGGCCGAGTTGCCTCATTGGTTTATATTGTGCATGCATAGTTAAAATTGAATTGGGAATGAACCAAAATCCCTTTTGTCTTTTGGTAACGTGAAAGAGACCGAACACCTTAGAAACTTGTTTTGAAAAAGGCACATCTATAGTATGTGTGGAAAATGGAAGTGGGTAGTGGGCTTAGTGAATTTAATCCCTAAGGAATTGTTAATGTTATGAAAGATTGGGAACGAGGTTTAATGAAAGGAAAAGAAAGATGAATCATTTATAGCTTTGAATGAAATGGTTGTTTTCGAGAAAAGTTTATACGTATATATATTTTGTATAAACTGTCACATTGCTATTCCTGTATGAGATTGAGCATTCATGATCATAGCTATCTGTATGTTGTTATTGTTGAGGGCCATGTTGAGATCCCTACTAGACTATATGTTCATCCCACGTTGTTGAATCTTTTTTAGGTATTAAGCAGGTTGAGTTGCAAGATTTGGATCTACTTATTTATTGGCCACGGGGCCTATGTTATGTTGGCAGAATGCCATTGTTGTAAAAGAGTTACACCCTTCATCTTGTACCTTAAGTGATGTAAGCCCAAGGGCAATTTATTAAGTATGTTCATGTAATATTCACTTTGCATACGAATGAGAGTATTGTTAATCACTTTTACGAATTGAATGTATGAGTTTATTTCCGCATGTTATTCTTGAAATTGAATTAAGTTAATGAATTTGGTAATGACTTCGAGTAATAAAAAGTGGGGCGTGACACTTTTTTTCTTTCATTTTTTGTTTTCTTTCCGTCAAAACTAAGGTTCTTTTTCAAACTTGAGTGAATAATTCAACTAGAGTCACATTACAAATATGACTAAGAATAATACATAAGCAAAAATCAGTCAATATTAATCAACCTCTATTGCCAAAATCTTATTCCGCGATACTAGAACCACATCTCTCATAACTTCAGAGTTGCAAAGTTCTTTCCCCTATAATCCCCTCCAACTTAATCTGGAAAACAAAATTGGTTAGAAACTGGAAGCATTTGAATGTCTTGACACAACTATGGTGGTTAGTGCACTTTGGCTATACACATAACAGAATTGATGGAAATGTGACTTCAAGTTTTTTAATCTGCATATGGCTAAGGTTGAAAAATATACCAACTGATGGAGTATTGTGAAACTACTCTGTTTTAATCCCTTGCAATGCCTTAGAGGCTTATCTGTTCCTAAGGAGGGCAGCGTTGTTTAGATTGCACTAGTTACTGAAAAAGAAAGACAAAAGGCAAACTGACATTTTGTTGCATGTATCATGGGTTACACGCATTCCATGAATTTTGCATTCAATTAAACTGGAAACATGGCACTAGATAAGGGCAAGTGTTGTTCTTTACTTCTATGTTTTTTCTTTTTCCTTTTATGATCTTATTATTAATTGGTTTACAATAACATATTTGTATACCGTTTTTCAATAAGGTACCAAAAAAAAAAAACTGA